GCACATGTGAATTCACATTGTGGCACATGTAAGTTATGTAGCCCAGTGGTTCTTAACTAATTTGGGTCATGGACCCCCTTGAGAATCTGATGAAACCTGTGGACCCACCCCAGGAAAAAAAATCACACAAACAAAATTATCAAAGTTGTTGTTGTTGTTGTTAATAATAATAATAATAATAATAATAATAATATACCGCCCTATACCCAGAGGTCTCGGGGCAGTTCACAGAACAAAATCAAAATATAAAACCACAAAATATATAATAAAAATAAAAACAACAACCCAATAACTCCCCCAATAACAGGAGGGAAGTTAAAGAAATAAATCCTTTGTGTTACCTTGGGAATGGACTGGAAGAGAGCAACAAACTGAAGCTCAATCCAGAAAAGACTGAGGCACTGTTAGTGGGCGGTTCCCTAGACTAGATGGATTAGGAGGTGGCCTGCACTCGGTGGGGCTCCACTCCTTCTGAAGGAGCGGGTACACAGCTGGGCAGTACTTCTGGATCCATTGCTGTTGCTCTAGGCTTAGCTGGTGTCGGTGGCAAAGAGTGCCATCCATGGGCTTCAGTTGCTGGCCCAGCTGCACCCCAATTTGGACAGAGATAGCCTAACTTCTGTTGTTTGTGCTCAGGTTACTTTTAGGTGAGATCAGGGGTAGTCAACCTTTTTATACCTACCGCCCACTAATGCATCTTTCTTGGTGGTAAAGTTTCCTTACCACCCACCAGTGCTCAATGAAAGGAGGATTCAGCTTGTGCCATGGAACCCCCTACTGCCCACCTAGAATCCTGAAATGGTAGGGACCAGGTTGACAACCCCTGGGTTAGATAGACACAATGTGTTATTCATAGGGCTGCCTCTGAAGATGGTTTGGGAACTTCAGCTGGTGTTGAATTCGGTGGCCAGGTTGCTCACCAGGACAAAGCGGTTTGAGCATGTAGCACCAATCCTGGTCCAACTGCACTGGCTCCCAGTGGTCAGGAATGGTGGACGTTTTAGTCCAGCAACATCCAAAGGGCCATAAGTTAGCTTTTAAAATGACACAGCCAAAGGTAGGAAATTTGTCCTGTGGCAAATAAATCTTTTGAGATTTATTTTATTTTATTTTATTATGCTGGGGAGACACTGGGGAGACAGTTTAAGTGACCCCACAGCCACACTTCCCTAATGATAATCCAGTTCTCCATTCCAGTTGATACAAAGAGACGGGGGTTGTATTTTAAGATGAGAGCACAGGAACATGCAGGTGATTATCTACAAATGCAAGGTGAGGCTCCATAATCCCTGAGGTACCTTGAAATTCAAAAATAGCTTTTTCACATTCAGTATGGTGATCTTTTTCTGAAGCATGCCTGGAATTGAAGCGATAAATGATATGCCCTCACCTGCGCAGTAATAGGCCTATTATAGCAGCTCCTCAGAATGACATTTTACCAGCTTTATCTTCAGAAACAAGTGATTAGTATTTTAATCATTAGTGACCCACAGAGCTCAATTTAACTGTCAGAGCTGCACAAAGTGTGTTGTCAGCTGAAGAGCAAAATAGTTTCTAAAGCTGAGTTTTACCACAAGCAAACCACTCTTGAGTCTCGCCGTTTACACCTACAGGCTACACACCATTGTAACATTCTGCACTGACGAACCACTTTAAAAGACCATATATTTAAAGCGCATCCAACACACATTTAAAGCACATGACTTTCCCATACTCTGGGAAAGAGGAGAATGAGAGGTGATATGATAGCCACCTTCAAATATCTCAAGGGCTGTCACATGGAAGTGGGAACAAGCTTGTTTTTTCCTGCTCTGGATGGTAGGACCCAAACCAATGACTTAAAGTTACAAGAAAGGAGATTCTGGATTTTCTGAAATTAAGAGCTGTTTGACAGTGGAACAAACTTCCTTGGAAGGTGGTGGACTCTCCTTCCTTGGGTATTTTTAAGCAGAGGTTGCAGGGCTATCTGCCATTGGTGTTTTAGTTGAGCTTCCTGCACTTCAAGGGGTTAGAATAAATGACCGTTGGGGTCCCTTCCAGCTCTACAAGTCTATGATTCTTGGTGTGCATGTAGGGTCCAAGCACCTAGAGTTCCAGGGCCAGCCCCTCCTTCATGTCGATATGATACGATACGATACGATACGATAATCTTTATTGTCATTGTCCCATACAGAACAACGAAATTGAAAAAATCTACATCAGACATTCAAAAACCAACAAACCTGCTATCCCAGCTATCCCTGGCTGGATAACCCCCTAAAAACTCTGATACCCCATAATTAAATACAATATACTGCCATAGAGAGTACCTTAAAAGGTAAAGGTAAAGGGACCCCTGACCATTAGGTCCAGTCGTGACCGACACTGGGGTTGCGGTGCTCATCTCGCTTTACTGGCCGAGGGAGCCGGCGTACAGCTTCTGGGTCATGTGACCAGCTTGACTAAGCTGCTTCTGGCGAACCAGAGCAGTACACGGAAACGCCATTTACCTTCCCACTGAAGCAGTACCTATTTATCTACTTGCACTTTGACGTGCTTTCGAGCAGGGACCGAGTAACGAGAACTCACCCCTTCGCGGGGATTTGAACCGCTGACCTTCTGATTGGCAAATCCTAGACTCTGTGGTTTAACCCACAGTGTCACCCGCATCCCTTCCAGAGACTACCTTACACTGTGTTTAAAACCAAAATCGCATTTGGATAGAAACTTTCTCAGGCAGCTAGTCCTAGTCCTATGTCCCTAGTCCTATGTCGTGTCACAAATGACTTTTGCAAGCCCCCTCAGTTTCAAGAGTGAATTGACACACAACGCTACCCAAAGCTGGTACTCAGTCTAAATTAGAGATGGGGCAGAAAGACGAACCTACCTGAATTACAATATCCAAAACAACATGCAAACCGAAACACAGCCATCCTTTGGAATTCGCAGCTCTCTGAATTTTGTAATGTGCATCTCCAGCCGCATAATATGCACAAAAGTTAGTAATGTTTCGATGCAAATGCACATGTTAGCAAAAGTGTGCTACATTAGGCAAGAGGGCTTTGCAAAAAGAAATTCACGCGTTAGGCAAAATTGCATACAAACCTGTGTACAGGCACAAAATCACAATTGATGTAGAAGTGTGGAGAACTGCACTGAAAAGGGGGGAAATCAGAAAGTGAGACAAGCTGAAATTGACAGAGTCACCCTTTCCACATCCAAAACAGTTATTGGTTCCTGGCCAGTGACTCTAATCTTCCCAACAGCATGACTGAAAACGTTGCGTGCCATATTGTGGGGTTCAGCCGACGGGGAAAACAATCCAGATTATTACTCACACTTCGTGTGAAAGCTCTTTCTAATTTTCAAGCTGGGAGCAGATAAATTTCTGTGTAATTTAAGTGTGTTAACTGAAGGAATAATGAGCATGGATTACATGCATTTTGGCAGTGACATTGCAATTACAGGCTCTCTTTTATTCATAAGCCTTCCCTAAAGAAGGCACCAGGAATGCAAGGAATCTGAAAGCACTTCCAGAAAGGGCAAGGGTGGGGAGGAGAATGGCTTGAAAGATGACACACTAAATATGGTGTGTGAGAGATGAGGTGAGGTGTATGGGATGATATTTTCCTAGATAATTAAAGATAATTAAAATCCAGAAAGAGTGATAGTTGTAGATATCTATATTTGCTTTGGCCTCAGTAATTTCACTGCAGCTAAATGAGGGAGAAGTCTTAATTCTTTCGACCATCTGTTGCAACCTTCTTTCTGTGTCATCATCATGTTACATAAAGAGTCGCTCCAGAGAGTTTTGTCGTTGGAATTTATCACGGCACAGGAAATACTAGGTAGAAATTTGAGAAGCAGTGATATGCAGTGGCCTATAGGGATGGGTTGGTAGGAAGAAGAAGAAGAAGAGTTTGGATTTGATATCCTGCTTTATCACTACCTAAAGGAGTCTCAAAGCGGCTAACATTCTCCTTTCCCTTCCTCCCCCACAACAAACACTCTGTGAGGTGAGTGGGGCTGAGAGACTTCAGAGAAGTGAGACAAGCCCAAGGTCACCCAGCAGCTGCATGTGAAGGAGCGGGGAATCGAACCCGGTTCACCAGATTACGAGTCTACTGCTCTTAACCACTACACCACGCTGGAAAATTTCACATCACCAGCAGTGCAAAGAGCTCAGTGCTGCGGTGGCGGCCGTATTGTTCAAAGGAAAACTGCTGGGGAACACCAAAATAATAATGAGGGCAGAGGGGGAAATGAATCTGAATAGTAGCTCTGTCTAATTTTTTGTCAGTTGCTTTCACAAAAGGGTTGCATGTCTCAAAACACATTGCCAATGTTACAAAAGCAGAAAAAACAAATTTCAAAACCATTATTTAATTTCAAAAACACGTGCAAGCAAACTATGTATGAATGTTTTTTGGCATACCAGAGTTGGTTTCCACAGATGAAAGGATATAATTTTTATATCTATTTTCTAAATATAAAATTTGATATACAGTAAAACTATTGTCATACTGGCCACATGACCCGGAAGCTGTACGCTGGCTCCCTCGGCCAATAAAGCGAGATGAGCGCCGCAACCCTAGAGTCGGTCACGACTGGACCTAATGGTCAAGAGTCCCTTTACATTTACCTTTAAAACTATTCTGTAGCATCAGGGATGCTCAAAACAAGTGTTCCGTATTTTAATATGGAATTTATTTGATATATCCTGAAGCAAACTTACATTTAAGTGAACCGCCCTGAGACCTCTGGGTATAGGGCGGTATATAAAATCAATAAGTAATTTTTTATTATTATTATTATTATTATTATTATTATTATTATTATTATTTAATGTCTCACAATGGCAAAATTAGGGCTCATAAAACATGCCGTACACCCAAGGGAGCTGAGGTGAATCCCAGTGTTTAAGCCCCACATAAACTGTCAGGGAGGATTAGCACTCACGCCATAGGTTAGGGTGGGCTCAAAACGTCCTCTGGATCTGGGGAAGCAAGACGGTCATACATTTTCAACAATAGCTCAGGTGGCAGAGCATGAGACTCTTAATCTCAGGGTCACGAGTTTAAGCCCCACATTGGGCAAAAGATTGTTGCATTGCAGGGGGTTGGACTAGATGACACTTGTGGTCCCTTCCAACTTGACAAAATTCTGATTCTATGTACGTCAGCTGCATTATACCCTGAAAAATGGTTAATATAAATTTGATATCAAATCGATCAGACTGAAATCCTTTGATATAGAATTGATATAAAATTTTAATATAAATTTGATACCCCTTGATTTAAAATTTATATCCTTCCATACAAAATTCATATCAAAAGGTGAGACCACCTGTCACTTTCTTTTAGAGATGATCGGTGGCAATCCCTTGTATTGAGAACCAGTGTGGTGTAGTGGTTAAGAGCGGTAGACTCGTAATCTGGTGAACCGGGTTCGCTTCCCCGCTCCTTCACATGCAGCTGCTGGGTGACCTTGGGCTAGTCACGCTTCTCTGAAGTCTCTCAGCCTCACTCACCCCACAGAGTGTTTGCTGTGGGGGAGGAAGGGAAAGGAGAATGTTAGCCGCTTTGAGACACTTTCGGGTAGTGATAAAGCGGGATATAAAATCCAAACTCTTCATCCCTGTAGTTTTCTAGCTCAGAAGCACAATCCGGGTCTCTTCTGAAGGTATACAGTGGTACCTCAGGTTAAGAACTTAATTCGTTCCTGAGGTCCATTCTTAACCTGAAACTGTTCTTAACCTGAGGTACCACTTTAGCTAATGGGGCCAGCTGCACGATTTCTGTTCTCATCCTGAAGCAAAGTTCTTAACCCAAGGTAATATTTCTGGGTTAGCGGATTCTGTAATCTGAAGCGTATGGAACCCGAGGTACCACTGTATTCAAACAGGACATTACGGCTGCAATCCTCTGGATTAGTCTCACGCAGTTGAATGAGACTCATGCCCGGGTGTGTGTTCAGCACTGCAGCCTGTAAACTGCTGGGTGAAATCTGAATGTAGTATCTACATTGACCAGAAAGTACTGTGTTCCATTTACAAAGTAATTTCCCCACCCCAATTTCAATCTCATGTTGTTGTGAACTCACATTCACAAAGTGTTTGCAGGAAGCACAAGATCAGGGCCGTATTTACCTGGGGGTGCAAGGGGTGTGGGGCACCGGGGCACCAAATTCGGGGGGAGGGGTGCGCCAGGTGCCCATCGCTGAAGCCGCCTAAGCTCTTAACCATCTACCTGTTATGAAATGATAAATAATTTTGATCAAGCTAGAAAAACAAAAGACATATATACCTAGGTATTACCGAATTGTATACCTATTGTTTCACTAAAGGACTTTCGACTTTGTGCGCTCGTTTGCCAAAGACGCACTGCACCAGCAGCGGCACTTGTCGTTCACAACGGTGGCGCTTGTTAGACTCAGTGAGTATAAGTCTATTGTAAATAAATGATCAAATAATAAAGTTTCCTTCTTTCTCCTCCCTTCTTTCGTAAACAAGAGATAAGTCGTAAGCGTGGTGTCTGCCATAAGCATAATAAAAGTTAATTTGGGGGCTAAACTAAATTTGGGGGCGCTGGGCGGATGTTTGCACCCCGGCGGCGCGTATGCTAAAGACTCCCCTGCTCAAGATGGTTTTTAGCACCATGCACTGAAGCAGCCTGCGCCAGGTGTGTTGCACAAGCAGCGATGAGCTTCCTTTGTTAATCTCTTAGCTTAGAATGTCCTCCCAGGCTGATTTATTTTGCCAGCAACTTAGTGACCAGAGAGCCTTCCCATTATTAATAGGCCTGGCTGGCAAGCAGGCTGCACCCCCTTCCCCCTTCACAGCTTGTGTTTGTCTTTTTTTACAACCTCGGAAGTTGCTAAGAGATCGTAAACAGTGCTCAGGCTGTAGCAAAAGATGTGTGGCTGTGCATCTAGCTCTGCGGATAAAAAGTCATATTCTCTAAATCAGCCGGGAGATGCTTCTTCTTCGAAGAAAGGCACAAATTCAACTTCCAAGAAGATGGCCAAACCGTAAGTGTTAATCCTGTCCTCTTTCCCTCTAGCAGGCTCTCGTACATTTTCCTTGCTCTCTCTGTGTGTGAATGAGGTTCCACAGGAGAGGAAAAGACAGAGGTTTCACAGCTTGTGGGCTGGGCTGTAATGAGTTTCTCACACTTCGGCAAAACTAATCATACTGTCTATTAAAATGTTTAAATCCTAGGGGAGAATAGGAAAGTCCTCCAAGAGCATTTTCTTGATATGCGCTTTTAAAATTTGATTACTTTATTTTTCAAACTTATATCCCACACTTCCTTTTGAAATCCCAGAACCACTTAGATGGGCTTCTCACTGGGCAACTAGCAAACCCAGGTCAACTCCTAGCCGCTGTTTTACTAAGGCTAGTAGAGGGAGTAGAGTCCACAAACAGAAGCCCGAATTGTCCAAAATGAGTTGAAAACATCGGAGTCAACTCCTAAGGGCCGAGGTCCCCTCGCCACCCCCTTATAAAATATTTGAGGGGGCTGCCCCCCAAGTTAATGAGCTTTGCCATTCAAATGGTGTAGGTTGCACCACGTCATGTGATTATGTGGGGCAGGGCTTACCTGCCCCCCAATATTATATTCAAGTTGGCACCCCTGGTTCTAAAGGTCTTAAGATGTGCTCAGTATACACAGACACAGATTCTATTATTGCATGCAACTGAATCTGATTATGTTTTGAGGGGCATTACATTTTTATCCTATATCTCAGAAAAGAAAAGAAACTTTTAATGAAAAAGAGAGTGACCCTCCCAATCTGCTCTCAGATCAAAAAATCATTTCTTGCTACATTAACCACCAGATATACCAGTAACAATGTCTATTTAATTTCCAGTATACCAATATCCAAGCAGCTGGCTTCTATAAAAGGTAAGTGAGCTACTCCCCTTGTTTCCTTTATACATTCATCTATTTTCCTGGACAGGGCAGCATAAAATGCGGTGATGCACATAGCATTTCTAACAATGTTTACTTCTAACCTTATTCTATTGGGCTCACTCCCAGGTTATTGGGGTTAGAATTGCAACCTGAATATATTGCAACACAGAGCACACATCATTCCCATCCCAAAGCCAAATGTTTTTGAGGTTCTCTTAAGAACATCTAAGGAAACAAATACATTTTTAGTTGATGCTGAATTCTTATTTTTTAATGAGTTGGTATGACGTGGGTGGTGCTGTGGGTTAGACCACAGAGCCTAGGACTTGCCGATCAGAAGGTTGGCGGTTCGAATGCCCGTGACAGGGTGAGCTCCCGTTGCTCGGTCCCTGCTCCTGCCAACCTAGCAGTTCGAAAGCACGTCAAAGTGCAAGTAGATAAATAGGTACCGCTCTGGTGGGAAGGTAAAGGGCGTTTCCGTGTGCTGCTCTGGTTCACCAGAAACGGCTTAGTCATGCTGGCCACATGACCTGGAAGCTGTACGCCGGCTCCCTCAGCCAATAAAGCGAGATGAGCGCCGCAACCCCAGAGTCGGCCACGACTGGACCTAATGGTCAGGGGTCCCTTGGTCCCTTTACCTACCATACATTACTCAGAGAGGAGGGCATTCCATCAATGGAGTGCCACCGCTGAGAAGCCCATTCCTGCATCACCACAGAATGAAGCTCTTCCCACACCAGGATGCTAACAAGGCCCCTCTATAGATTTTAAGGGTTGGGCAGGCTCAGGACTATTTTTGCAAAGTGGCAACTCTAACCATCAGCCTGAATCACAACCCTCTCTTAGTCTGCAAGGTTGTTCCACCTCTAAGCAGGCATCCATAGTGCTGTTCTGGGTGCATTACAACACACCGGGCCACCGCTAAGAGTCTTCTAAGCCTTCCTTTGAATCCTGCAGCTGGGTCTTCTGCAGGTAGCTCACAACCATCAACACCCTCGCCATACAAATGCAGTATGCAGTGTCATTGCTGTTAACTGCAGGAAGCTCAGAATAATTTACGCTTGCTGACTCTGGACTCTACTGTTCTTCTTGTTGTTGTTGCTGTTTCAAAAACTGCTTCCGTTGGCCTCCCACTTATTGTATTTCGCCCCTCAGCTCTAGGGAAAGGCTCGGATCTGGAGAAAGCTGTTGCGACAGCAGCCTTGGTTTATGACAACGTTGCAGACACAGAGGGCAAGCTCAGCAAAGCCGAAGCAAAAAAGTTGCTCGAGACTCAGTTTGTGCATTTCATGCAGGTAAGTGGGTTGAAGGGAGTAATCAAGCTGGTATAACGGGAACATCGGGAGAAGGGACCAAACTCTTTTTTTTTTTAATATAATTTTTATTAACAAACCAATCAAATCACATTAGTTTCAAATTACAAAGCCAAATTTTTAAATTTTTGTTGGGGGTACCCATGCTTCGAGCTCAGAAAGGGATCCAAACATCTCTCTTGCTGCTGCTTTAATGTTACAGTTCTGTCCAAATAGTATTCACAGTTCTATCCAATCTTCTCTTTATTGTTTTCCTCATTTTCTTGTTGTTGTCATATATTCCTTTCTTTGTGACCTCTGATAGTCTCCACAAGCGGGTTGAAAACAGACGTAGATTAACCTGTGTGGATTTTCCGTTCCTCCAAGAGCCATATTTCAAACAGACAGACGCCATTTCCACACTTCCGAACAAAACATTCTTAAAGTCTGCCCATTAAATCCTCGCAGGTCTGACAGTCTCTCCTCAATCTTAGGGGGTTCTGCCAGGTTGAACTCACATTCCAATTACCATGGTCTCCTCCCCCTCGATCATAAATCCAGTAGCCAGGCCTGCTTATTAAACAAGTCTCTTTTTATGACTGCGTCATTCCAAAGGCTCTTCATTCCTTCCCCGATGTTTCACAAACCATGTCTTTGATTAGTAATTCATTTCCACACAGTTCTTAATCATCCCGCTTATAATCAGTAATCGCAACGGTTCTTCTTGGGGGGAGGGTTGTTGCGTAATCACATAAGATAAAAGAAAAGAAAGGTTCCCCCCCCATTCCGTCCCATTCCAACATACCGACCCTTTGATGTATCTTCTTCTTGTTATGTTTTCCTGTTGAATCCAACCGATTGCTCCATTTCACAGAGGTCACTTCAATTAGCGGTCTTAACTCCTGTTCTTCCCTCGAAATATGTGCATTTGCTTCTCTCTAATTGTTTATTTTGAGCTCCTGCAACCAGGCCGCGCAATCAGAGACAGCGTCCGGGAGAGCCGTCTCACACGAGGGCTGTGTGCCTAGAGTCCTCACCCCCCTCTTTCGAATCCGGGGGTGATTTATGGCAACCGCAGGCAAGGCAGTGTTCCCCATTCCCTTGGGGTAACAAGGGAGGCTGCATACTCCCATATCAGCCTCTTAATTACCTCGTGTGAGCCGGAGAGATGGTATTGTCGGCCATCTTCCAATGCGCCCCTAGCAGCCCCCGAAGGGACCAAACTCTTCGGCCCTAGGCCAAGAACATTGCCAGGCCCAGCTGAAAGTACCAAGATCACCTTTAATAAAGCCTTAACTTTCTGGGGTTTGGAATATGTGAAGGACCACCTGCTGAGATCTACTGGGGGTGAGGAGTTGCATGGCACCCCATATCCCACTGCTAGCTGAGCAGGGGCTGGTGAGGGTTTAGGGGCCCGAATCTGGAATTCCCATTTCTGATGGTCTTCTTCTTCTTCTTCTTCTTCTTCTTCTTCTTCTTCTTCTTCTCCTTCTCCCTTTGAAGGGTAAACAACATTTGGTGAACATTTAATCTTATGTGGGAACCTGTTGTTGGTTTTTTAGTATTATTGCTGCAGTTTTCATTACGTTTTCTATTGCTTTTCTCTTAATACAGTTTTCTATTTTGTCGGCTCAGAGGACCAAAGAGCAGCATATGAGATTTTAGTATAAGCTCCTCTCCAGACCTTAAAAAAAAGCAGTGGGTTTTCAGAGCCTTTCTTCTGGCTACTTCTTCTGACATCAATCCATGTCAGCTGGTCACACATACCCTTTCTTTTCTTTTCCTTTTTAGCGTAGCTATTTGTGCCTTTGGCATTCTTGCACTGAACGTATTTGATTGTGTCTGTTAATAGTCTCTTGACGTGCGGCACTTCCCCTTAAATTGACCCTGATTCTGCAACCTGTCTAGGAAGCATGTTTTGTAACTGTTCTGCTCTCCCTCATTAGCAGCCGTGATGAAAGCAGCTTCCATATTTTGCCACAACATGATTCACGTTTTTTCACAGGGTCAGGAAACCAAGCCAAAATACCAAGAGATCATTTCTGCTCTTGAGGAGAACAGGGATGGCGAAATTGACTTTGAAGACTTCATGGTTCAGTTGCTTAGCCTCACCCTGATGTCTGATCTCCGGGAAGAGATCCGAAACGTGAAAAAAACAAAGTGATAAAGGATGCTGGATTGAACAGATCTTTTGGGTGGTGGGATGGGGGGGAGAGAAACTAAGGGGAGCATCTTATTTTTATGGCATGTTTCCAGAATGAAAGATAGATCACTGGTATCCTTGGCAGAATTGTGGAGCACAGACGTATGGGTGACTCCCCACTTATGCGGGGGTTTCGTTCTGGCGCCCTGCGTGCATTAGTGAAATTTCTGTAAGTGGGGAGCACACTCTAAACACACTTTTCATGCCCTCTCTGCCACTGTCTCTCCAATTCAGATAAAAAATGCTGTACCAAAAATATCCGCAATGGGATTGAAGCTCTGGGGGGCAGCTATCCCACACATCAGCTGTTAGGCGGGGAGGCTGAGCAGCCTAAACAAATTCCCACTGTGCCTCCAGTCTCTTTTCTGCCCCCACTAAAGTCCTCTTTGGACTCCGGGGAGAGTCTCCTCACAAGCCACCAGGACTCTCCAGCTCTCTCTCTTGTGCACGCCATTTCCTGGTGTAAATGGAATGATTTAATTTCCTGGCACCACGCATATACACGGTCACACACAAGTTCATCGCATGCAAATTGGGGGATGCCAGTATTCTAAAAGGGGAGAAAAGGCTTTTTTAAAATAAGGTTATCTGCCTTTCGTTAGGCTCTAGTGTATCAAGGATCAGATGAGTAACCAACAACCCAAATCTGTGCAGGTTTGCCCATTGAATTGTGGGGCTTATTTGGAAGTAACGGTGCATTTGGCTGCCAGAGATTGCAATCCTGTGCACTCTTATCAGAGAGCGTCTCGTGAAACCGATGAATCAATAAGCTTTTGAGTACATATGCATAGGTTTGGGCTGTAAGAGCAATTTGCATTTCAATTGCACGTTAAAGGGCAAAGCAGTATGGTGAAAAAAGAGATACTGGCCCAAATCCAGAGATACTGGTCCGCAAGAAGGTGTTGCATGAAGCAAGCAATGGGGGTGTGAAGGCTTTGTGTGTTGGCCCCGAATATCTTACAAGCATTCCCATCCACACCAAGACAGATGGAATGGGAATGTGCACTTTCTGGAGCGATGGAGAAGCCATGAGTTGACTCACATAACTGTCCTGCCCTTACTGAACTCCACCTGCAACCCCACATCTGTTAGATTACATACGCATTATGCCCTGCATCACGCACTCCCTTGTACCGTCTCCTCCACAAGAACCCCAGCTGGGTGAGCATGTGAAGCAACCTTAAGAGTGGACCAGGTCTACAATACAAATAGTTTCATCTCCTAGGTATATTCATTGACTAGGCTATTGTGTGGGAAATGTATAGGAAAATACCTAGAGTTAGTATTGAGGACTTTGGGTGCTGCAATTAAATGTTGGCTTATTGAGCTGAGTTGAAAGATTATATTGAATCTTAGCCTGATGCATTATAACGAATAAAATTAACGCTAAACCAAGACAAATAATGGTTTATCTATTTATTCTTGCAAAAGGTACAGAGCTGTCAAAAGCACAGAATTTCCTTAATGTTATTTCACATGAAGTAGATTCTCAGGCATCCTGAAATTGGTCTATCTTGGCTTTGCCTCTGGACAATTTTGTGACAGCTAGAATCTCTCTTTTCAGATGGTCCATGTTGCGCAAAAGGTAGTGGGGGGACATTTCTTTGATAACCTGTACACTGATTATTCAAATGTCAGGTTTTCAGCTCACAAAGCAGCCCTGAGCAATGATAACTTTGGAAGGCTGCACATTTACTTGGATGTAAGCCCAACTGATCACAGTGGGACTTCTGAAGGAAAATGAATGAGATCATGCTGTAAGGTTACTGACAACACAATCCTACGGATTCCATTCCTTGGAAATAAACTTCATTGTGTCCAGAGATGTTTATTCTCTACTAAGTGTTTAGGAGTGCGGCCTAAATGCCATTGAACGCATTGGGCATCATTCTCAGAAAACACATTTATGAATGATATCGCTAGGTTTGTCCTAAGAGACTGAAACAGTTGGAGAATGTGTCTGGGAGCAGGGAATTCTGAATGCTACCCTTTAGCTATACCAGCTCCTGTTTATGAACTTCAAGCAGAGTGTTTTAGAGCAAATGTCTATTAGCGTAAACACAGTGTCTGTACTTTGTGAAGACTCCAGAGATCTGAAGGGAAGACCCCAGATATTCTTTCCTGTTCTGTGGAATCTGGTCCTCCATGTAGGATGATGACCAGATGCAAAAAGAGAATAGGACTTTTAACAAAATACAGTCATACCTTGGAAGTCGAACGGAATCCATTCTGGAAGTTCCTGCAGCCAATCGGAAGCCATGCCAGATATTCGGCTTTCGAAAATCGTCTGGAAACCGAAACACTCACTTCTGGGTTTCAATCATTCGGGAGCCGATTTGTTTGGGAGCCAAGGTATGACTGTATAAGGAACCTATTCAATGCAATTCAGAGTTTTTGGCTCTGCCCTGGTTTGCAGGCATGGTCATGGCTGCCTTATATAGCTGTTTGAATATTGCACTATTATAGACCGGGGTGGATCTACACACAGGGGCGGAAAGGGTCAGAAATTAAATTGTTATAACAAAAGGGGGGGAAACGCTATGTAAAATCACAAAGAATATTTGTCCCTCTCCAGCGCCATCTGGTGTTGCATGTTTATAACACATTTAAAACACTGCTTTTTTGACTAATGTAGCTTGGATTCACTTCCTCACTCAGCTATGAGGGGCGACTGTGTGAAGTAATCATTAGCTCACAGCCTAACCAACCTTAGCAAGGTTGTCGTAAGAATCAACTGGGTGAAAAAGAGAGCCATGCATGCCCCCGAGCAGCTTGGAAGAAGAGTAGGATGCACATGCAGTAAAATAAAATGGCGGAAAACTAGTGGATGCAAAATGCAAAGATACAGAAGAGGAGGAGAAGAGGAAGAGGAAGAGGAAGAGGAAGAGGAAGAGGAAGAAGAAGAGGAGGAGGAGGAGGAGGAGGAGGAGGAGGAGGAGGAGGAGGAGGAGGAGTTTGGATTTGATATCCCGCTTTATCACTACCCGAAGGAGTCTCAAAGCGGCTAACATTCTCCTTTCCCTTCCTCCCCCACAACAAACACTCTGTGAGGTGAGTGGGGCTGAGAGACTTCAGAGAAGTGTGACTAGCCCAAGGTCACCCAGCAGCTGCATGTGGAAGAGTGGGGAAGCGAACCTGGTTCACCAGATTATGAGTCCACCGCTCTTAACCACTACACCACGCTGGCTCTGGCACCATTCATAGTTGCATAGAACCATAGAACCATAGGATTTTAGAGTTGGGAGGGACCCTAAGAAGATTTTTAGGCAGATGTAACTTGCATGAAAATTCTAAAATTCCCTCTTTTACACACCCCTTAAAAGGTTCAAGAGCCCTGTCTCCTTTGAAATCTGGCCACTCTACTGAGTATGCCATTTTAATATTTTAACTTTAACACATGCATTTTTGTACTCATCCCTTGGCAGGAGAACTGCATTGCAAAACTCAGGGAAGCGTGAATTTCAAAGGACAGCTGTGTTCCAGTTTGTGCATTGTTTCAGGAAGTGCAATTTCACCTTTAGATGCAGACCGAATTGAACCTGTTCCCCATCGCTGTTGACGCCTGCATATTAATGTACACCCCCCCACACACACAACAATAGATTTAGCAAGGAAACATTAATCTCTTAGAGGAAAGTGCAACCCAACAATGAAGAAGATTTCCTGGCTACATTTGGATGATCGTTAGGCTTGTCAGGGTCCCACTGAGAAATGGTGGGTGCTTTCCTTATGAGATGAACTAGCTGGAGTACTTCCTGTCCCCTTGTTCTGCCTGTCCCGTTGCTAAGCCTCCTTTCTTGCTTGTGGGGTGAAACGAGGTCTTACAACGGAGAAAACCAGGTGGCCATCAAAGAGACGGAAAGAGCACTGGGGCCAGACTTTCACCAGCTGCATCTTCGCTTGGTGCGTCAGAGATTTAATGGGAGAGATGCAGTCCCCGGCAACAGCTTTAGACAGTTAAGGGGGGAAAGTGGGAGACACAAGGTAGTGGGTTTTAGGAAAACTAAGCATAGGCAGCAAGCTTTCAGAGAGCAACATGCATGCTAAAGTGAGACGAATAAACTCTAGCAAGCCTTGCCTTCCATGTATGTTTCTAATTCCCCTATTTTAAAAAGGCAAAAAATATGTCTAAGTAATTAGTTGGAAGGAAAATGCCCCTAAAAGGCCCTGGAGATATCAATGTGTCTACAAATGTTCCAACCCTTTCATTTTCTCTCTCGCCTGAGCTGAGGAGGTGGGCGGGCGGTCCTTTTGCCTTGGCATGCTCTTATTTTCTTTAAGCAAGAAGAAAGAGAAATGGGGGTAAATTAACCCATTCGCTGGTGACCTTCGGTGCTAATGAAGGAGTACAATGTATGGGCTTAAGGACAGATTTAGCTCACTGACACCAGAAGCGTTGTGCTATGGCAACCTGCGTTCCTCATGTCCATGCAGTCCACCTGAAAGAGGGAGACTAAGGTGGATTGACTTTGCATTTTCAACCCACACTTCCCCCCCAAGAAGCTCTCCATCCCACTTTTTATGAACAGAGCAACCCTGTGATGCAAGTTAGGATGAAAGAAGCAGATTGACAGACGGGCACCCAGAGGGATTGTAGCTCCGTGACAGAGCACACACTTGGATGTGGGTAGAGTGGTACCTTGGTTCTCAAACACCTTGGTACTCCAACAACTTGGAACCCAAACACTGCAAACCCGGAAGTAAGTGTTCTGATTTGCAAACCTTTTTCGGAAGCTGAACGTGCTCTGTTTTGAGTGTTACGCTTCCAATTTCAGTGCCACGCTTCCATTTTGAGTGTTACGCTGAGGACTGTTTGGTTTTGCTATTTATTTTGCGTTTTTGTTTCTGCGACTCTTTTTGTTTTGTTTTTGCGACTGTGTGGAACCCAGTTTAGCTACTGATTGAGTGATTGTGTGACTGCAGTACATGGTATATTGATTTCATTTTATGGATCAGTAGTCTCATTTTATAGTAAAATTCATGTTAAATTGCTGTTTTAGGGGTTGTTTTTAAAAGTTCGGAACCGATTAATCCATTTTGCATTACTTTCTGTGATAAAGCGCGCCTTGGTTTTGGAACGCTTTGGTTTTGGAATGGACTTCCGGAATGGATTACGTTTGAGAACCAAGGTACCACTGTATAATCCCCAGCATCTCTAGGTAGGGCTGAGAGAGATGCCTGTCTGAATCCCTGACATAGATACACAATACTAAGCGGGATGGACCAAAGGTCTAACTTGGTAGAAGGCAACTTCCATCCAAGTGTGACACTTATAGTGTCTCTCAAGGCTGGACTATATTGGAATGTAGCAGGAGTTCCCATGTGAGACATCTTAGATACAAAGGAGAACAGGCCTCCTGCTCTTTTAATAGTTTTCAGCAGGTCACAAACGCTATACCTGCTGAAATTCCCTCTTCTGCACAACTATTGAAGGTGCAAGAATCCAGCTTCCTTGTGGATCTGCTCACCCTAGAGTCTTCTCAAGGCAAATAGGAAATTCCTCATGTTTCCTCAAGTGAATATGGTTCTTTCCTGTTTTTATGGAGGAATCATGGGGGAACAGCAGCAGCGAGGTTGTCCAATGAAGCTTGCTGTTGTGTCACACCTTGCCCACTCGGGTGAATGAAATTTAGCACAACACGCTGGCATATTGATCAAAAAGCCACCGTTCTATAACACAACAGGTACTGCAGTATGAAAGGAACGCTGGAAAAGAGGGCAGAAGCACTTGCATTGTATTCAAGAAAGCTCACACAATATTCGCCGTCTTTGAATGCACCCTAGGAATACTCAGGGGCCACAGAGAGTGTGGAGGGGTAAGGGAATGGAACGAACTGTCTAGAGTCCTGAAGCATACCATGATGCACACTTCCGTTGGAGCTCTCACTTGTACAAGTCATCACCTCCATTAATTTGGTGAGCCCAGCAAGGCTACTATTACAGTCTAGTCACCTGTGTTCTGTGTTTGCTTTGAGTCTGCTTGTCTCTATAGCTCGGTGTGTGGGCAGTGGAGGTTTTCGCCTCAAGCAACTGCAAGTTCAGGCATGTGCCTCTTCAATTCAAAATGTGCGTGGCTCTTTTAAAAAAACAACAACCCCAAACCAACAAACCTAAAGAATGTCTTCAAAAGAAGTTGAGGAAGCTGGCCGCTTGCCACTCTCACACCAGCTAAATCAATAGCAAACAAGTATCAGGGTAAGTGATCCCCATGGCAAAACTTTGTCTTACTGTACATATTTGCAGAACAACTTCTTCTAGCAATTACCAAGGAATGTCACCGAGCTTGCACAAAACAAACTGCCGGTAAAAGAAATGGCAGTCAATCCAAGATCAGGCAGCAGCTGTCTGGATGAATTGATCCATGCCATATAATTAGCTATCCCTCCCCTTTTTTTTAAGGAAGT